TGTGTGTGTGTGTGTGTGTGTGTGTGTGTGTGTGTGTGTGTGTGTGTTTTGCACATGTGTATTCAGGGTTCATGGAGGCCAAGTGAGGGCTCTGAAAATCCTCCTTTGTCACTCTCTGCTTTGTTTCTTTGGATCTCTTTCTAAACCTGGAGCTTGTGTCCTTCAAGAAGGCTGGCAGCCAGCGATCCCCAGTTATCCTCCTGTCTCTGCCTGTCTCAGTGGTGGGTTATAGGCATATGAGGCGTGTCGGGCTTATTAAGTGAATGCTGGGATTGGGCCTCTGGTCCTCATGACCATATAGTAGGCATTCTCAGCTGCTAAGCCCCATAAACTTTTTCCTTTAATTGAACAGTTACCTTTCTATTTTTAATGCAAAACTCAATTTTTCTTGTCAGGGAGGAAAATATCCAGAGGTTATCTTGTTGAAAACAGCAGAAACTGCATTTAGGTATAGCTTTTCTACTCCTTGCTGTGTGAGAACTTCCAGATCTCTTTGAGCCACTTCCTTTGAGAAATGAGGTGAAACTATATACCTCGTTTTGGATTTCAGGGATTGGACTAAATGAGATATCTTCAAAGTTGTGTAAAGTGATACGTGTTATAACAAATTAAAAAATGAGTGTTTTCGGCTATATTATGTTTATTATTAGCCCTAAGATTATCACAGCGGTATTGTTTAACTTGCTAAATCAAATAAAAAGACATAGACACCAGTTAGATTTTATAATTGCCTTATTTACCTTGGGCCAGGCACATATTTCACTTACACTCTTTCTATATCCTCACCATCCGTCTCCCCACCCCCATCCAATGTCATCCTCCTTAATCATCCTATCTTCCATCCATCCATAATATTACAAACACTTGCTTTTATCCTTCATCTGGGCCTTTTCATGCCATTATTGGAGTCTTTTCTCCTTGCCCACGTAGTTCCTTCTCCACTTAACCTATCCTGGCGTCCTCCTTCCTCCTCTCTTCCAGTCTGTCTACTAATCCTCTCTGTCCTCTAAAGCCCAGGAACCTTAGCTATGCCTACCCCGTTCTGCCCTGCCCAGGTATAGGCTGTTTAATCAACCAGTCAGGTATGTCTTAGGCAGGTTTACAAAACAAAGATAGGTGTAACCAGATCTTCAGGGCCAATAACATGCATCAAACCAACCTCCAACAGATATGGTTTCTGTCTTTGAGGGCCTGGGTACATCACATTCCTTGGAAGAACTATTGAAAACGCACATAAATTCTACTCTGATAGCTCCAAGGAGCTTGAGAATAAGGTCAGTTTTAGCTCATGTACTTAAAAGTACAAACGGCAGCTGTGCTCGGCTCAGTTCACATGCCAGCTCATTGTATCAAAGGCCCAGGCTTTTCCAAGTTCCTATTCAGTAACTGCAACTGGCATTTGTTCAAAGCTCAGTCCCATATGGTCACAGTGGCTATTGCAGCTCCAGACATCACTTAGTCACATGCTACTGCCAGAATTCCTGATATCACTTCCTTTCTCGGATCCCTTTGGAGAAAACTTTCTCAGAAGTCTTTCCCAGACTTCTCCTCGTCTCACTGATTAGAATTGCACCCCACTCTTCTCATTGTGTCTGGACTTGAGGCTTGGCTTAGTAGGGCCATTTTGCACAGTGCCCCAGAAGCTAATGTCCTCTGGAAGCTGCAGTGTGGTTGCAGGTCTGCTTCACTGGGTGGTTATAGAATGGCTGTGCATGGCTGACCCTGCTCCAGGGTGGACCCAGTATCCTTACAGCCAGCTTCCTAGAGGGACTGACCCAACAGACCACAACAACAGTGCTGCTCTCTGCGACCAGCCTCACATCATACACTTACTTCTGCCATACTGTGTGCCCACACAGGCATGGTCTGCCTCTCTGTTGGGTGGGTCCAGTGTGAGGGTGACACAGGTGGTGAACATGTTTGGGGACCAACCTGGAGGCCAGCCGTCATACAGTCACATGTTATTTGTGTGGCAGGTATCTCCTGAGTGGTTGTCACATGCTTAAAGCCTGTTTTTGAAGTCAGACCACAATCCTAAGCTTTTTTCTGATTTTGGGCAAAAACCATCTATCAACCTTCATTTGCTATGGCAACCATCTGAACCTTGATTTTTATGATTCAGTAGTCTCTGTCAGGAGGAAATGCTAGCCAAAAACCACAAAACATGTATGCACTTGAGTAGGTGCTTAGTAAACATGTCCAGAGAACAGCTTTCACCCAAAGGTTCACCCATGTGGAAGAAAACCCATTCCAGAGAGAGGGCCAGAGGAGTCTTTGCTCAGGGGCCTCTTGAGTCATGGTGGGAGGGCAGAAGCCATAGATGTGGAAGAGCTGCTCATCCCAGGAGCCTTGTGTTTGTTTGTTTGAGGTGGGCCAAAGTTTCCTCTTTAGTCTGAGCCAGGGCAGTAGTTTCTACTTTTTACATTCATACTTGATGACCAGTCCTCAAAGTGGAATTGCCCCTTTAAGATAATTGTTGCTTTGAGTCTCCAGCTCCATTTCAGGAAGAGCTGGCCTAGAGGATCTCCACTGTTCTTCCTCTCCAGAGCCACTCACAGGCTGGTCCCTGAACGATGTGGAAACATTGGCCACAGGGGGGTAGCAAAGTACACTGCCAGACTGCTTCTGCTCTGTCTTCTCAGGCTAAGGCAGAGATGTCATGTTCTGCACCATTTAATTAGTTCTTTTTGTCTCCTTTTAACAGCAGGAGACTCTTGGTACCCTCTGCCTCCCTGATAATACTATGCTTCTAGTGTTTCCAAATGGAGAACAGTATAGCAGCCAAAAGATGCTGAGCATACGTCAAGCAGGCTCTGACATAACCAATGCTTTTTTCCATGCTCTGTAGGTATTAAGTGCTGGGATGAGCATTGGACCAGAAATGACCTCATTTCATCCTAGAGGCTAGAAAGTGGGTGCTAGTACCCCTGTTCTATAGATGAACAAGTGGGCTTGGAAATACCTCCTCACACAGCTGTGATAGGCCAGGTCAGACATTCTGTGGACCCTTTTCTCTCCCCTGGTCTCACTTCCCATCATGGTAATATCATTTGTTGTTGTTTCTTTTATCACAGTCCCTGACAAATTTCAGAAAGGTTTGAGAGCAGGTCTGGGTTGTGGATTTGTAACTTTTTGGTCTGTTTTGTTTTAGCACACCAATGACTTTGCCCTATACACAGAAGCCATCAAGTTCTTCAATCATCCAGAGAGTATGGTTCGAATTGCTGTGAGAACCATCACCTTGAATGTCTACAAAGGCAAGTTTCCTCATGCACTCAGGTGTGGGCCGAGTGCTGGCTCCGTGCATCCGAGCACAGTTCCCGAGTCGCTGGAGAGCTTGCCTAGTATGAGCCACAGCTGCTTGTCTTACAGTAGGCATATCACAGTTCCCATGTGGAAAACTTTATGCTGCATGCTCTAGTATTGCTCCCTGCTGCTGCCCCCTAGTAGGCTTTCCTGAGAAGTCTTTGTGGGATTTGCAGTGGCTAGCTTTGTTGCTAGTTAAACAAAGCAAAAGCAAAACTGTCTTGAAAATTTTAGCTTTCAATTTTTGTGCTTTGGCTGATAAAATATACTGTTACAGCTATTTTATATTTTATCTCTAAATATGCATGAGAGTATTTCATATCACAAGCAGCAGGGGGCAGTATTGTGTTCCCAGCCAGCCACCAAGTGTTAGTGGGTTCCTCCTTCCTCTCAGATATATTTAATGCTCCAACACTGTTTCCAGCAGAGAGCCTCTCCAGGAGTCCCGCCTGTGCTGCCATACAGGCTGCTTGCCTGCGGGTTTTGGAGCTGGCACTGCCCCCTAAGACAATTCCTGAATCCTGGTGACCACAGTAGAGCTATGCCTCTAGATTCGTGGTCATTCAACAGCTTTGACTCTCATGAGTCAAGATGGTATTACTTAAGGTGCCATCCAGGGAAGGTTCTATTAATTTTAGATGACTTTAAATTTAAGAGCGTTTGTCAGAACCAGAGGTCCAGCCAGAGGTCGCAAACAGGGTCCTGTAGACTCAAACCAGTCTTGAGACACATTTTAGTGGGCTCAGATGGTCTTGGAAAAAAAAAAAATACAGAACAACTGGGAGAGACATTGTCTCAAAGAAAAATGTGTGTGTGCCTGTGTGCGTGCACGTGGTGTGTGTGTGTGCCCATATTTTAAAACTTATTTTACATGGTGTCCATTTCTGACTTGAAGATGTGCATTTGCCTGCTCTGGGCCCACACTCCCATGGGAAGTAAGTGGTCAAAGGCTGAGAAGCAGCTGCTCCTTTCTGGGCTAGGGCGCTAACTCCCTAATTTGTACTCTCAGTCTTCAGACTTTGTTCACTGTGCAGCCATTGGCCTGGCAGACTTATGAGTTTGTGACCTTGGCCATGCACATTTGTTCCACTACCCTGTGCTCTGTTTTCTCTTGCTCTCTTCTAACTGTGTCTTTTGGTTTAGATGCCTCCTGCCTAGGCTTTGTCTCTCTGGGCCGCTGTCTCACCTTTCCAGTTCCTAACCCTGTTAACTGTTGTCTGTTTTTGCCTTTCCTCCAATGCCGATTCCTGTTCCTTATTCCAGTGTCATGTAAGTTATTAACCTCTGGTTTTCCTCTTTCTCAATTACTAGTAAACACAGGATACTTGCCTTGAGAGCGCTGCATGAGCAGTGTAGTCAGCTCTTGCCCCGTGCTGATATATAACCTCTTCAGTGCACTGAATGTGCCACCCTCAATTTTAACAGTGACAGTTGAGTGTGTTAATTGAGAGAGTAGCACCAGCACTGCTTTGTTTGATAAATCAGATAAATATTTCCAAGTATTTCCAGGAAAGACAGAGAGTCTCAGATGGTAGCAAGGCTTTTTCATGGTGGTTTTGGGTTTGTTTGGGTGTTCTGTTTTGTTTAAACTGTCCCTGAGTTTTTGGTGGCTTACTGTTTTCTTCTTCTGTGCATCTTCTCAGTGGATAACCAGGCCATGCTGCACTACATCAGAGACAAAACCGCTGTCCCGTACTTCTCCAATTTGGTCTGGTTCATTGGGAGCCATGTGATCGAACTTGACAACTGTGTGCAGACAGATGAGGAGTAAGTAATGCTCCTGTGGTCTCCTTAGAAAACAGGGTGGTGAAGGGAGCACTGTGTCTCCACAAGGAGGTGTGGGGAGCAGCACTTACGCCAGCGTTGGCAGAGTCAGGGCTTCAGATGGCAAAAGGTTCTGCCTGTCTGTTAGGGACAGTGGGAAGTTGGAATTTTCCCACGTGCCTCCAGATGGGTAGTGGCAGTACATCCCTAGCTGTGCGGTGAGGCTGCTGATCAGAAAATGAGGATATGTGAGTCACCAAAGCGAAGAGCTGGGTACAAGGTTCACTCGCTGAAGCACTTGCCTTACAAACTCTGAATTCTATTCTTGGAACCTATGTGAAAGTACTGGCAGAGACAGGTGATTCCTTGGAGGCTTTTTTGGTCGGCTTCCCTAGTTGGTAAGTTTTAGAGCAATGAGGTACCCTGTCTTACACAAAAGGTAGACAGCACATGCACTGTGCCCTTCTTCCACATAGACACGTAATGGTCACATGTGGTCTGTCCATGCAGAGGACTAGTAATTTCTTAACCATTAATGGTCTGCAGTGCTGACACATGCTGTAATATGGATATACCTCAGAAACATTGCCCTGAGTGAAGGCAGCAGACACTGCGCCTCACTGCCTATGATTTCACTGAAATGCCCAGAAGAGGCGAATCTAAACAGATCAGACTAGCGGTTCCCTAAGGCTGGGGTACAGGATGAGGGGGTGTTTCAAAGGGCCGGGTCAGAAAGCCACTGCCAATGAGTACAGAGCTTGTGGCAGACAAGATTAAAAATGTGCTGAAATCAGATGTGATGAACATAAATGGAGCACTTGCTGGTACCTGCTGAAGTTCAATTTCTAGCACTCCAAGAAAAAGCAAAAATGTTAAAAACCCATTAAGTTATGCACATGAAATGAGTGAGTTTTATTGTAAGTGAATTGTATCTCAAGAAAAACTTAAAAAAAAAAAACTGTTTAGACGGTTGTGGTGACTTTGTCCTCGGATTGATGACTTGAAGTGGGCTTTCCTGTCTTGGTACTGTTGACCTTCTGAACTGAGCGTCTCATTGCTGTAGTTCCATCTTTGCCTTGCAGAATGTTTAACAGCCTACATGACCCGCCTCTTCTATTCAGTGGCTAATAGCACCTCTCCATGTCAGGACAACTGAAAAAGCCTCCTGACATTACTTCACCCTCATTTGAGAACCACTGCCCCCCCAAAAAGCTTTGCCTCATGTTGTAAAAAGTACACTTAGATGGGGTCAGGACACTGGAGGGACCCAGAAAGGAACTCTCCAGGACAAGGGAGCCAGGAACATGTGCAGTCCAGCACTGGGAAAGAAGGAAGGCTAGGGAAATGGTAGGCCTGACAGGGCCTTCTGGAAAATAAGAATCGTGGGGATCACAGCCTCAGATGTAAGCCTAGGCACTTTTTTCCAGAAAGAACGACATGGCTTAAGGAAGGAGTAACTCATGGTTATCTGTGTAGCTCTGCAGTGGCCAGTTATGATGGTGTCAACTCTAATTACCCAGTAGATACTGTGAGAGACAGTGGGGTGGGGTGGGGCAGAGTTCTGTGGCAAGGGTTGTCTAAAAAGGCTCAGGTACAACTTTCATAGGTGTCAGTGCAACTTTCATAGAAGGCTGGAGGGACTGTCTGCAGAAAGATCCAACAGTTAAGGCTTCCTCAGCTGGGCCAGGTAGCTCAGCCTGTCATCCCATATACTCAGGAGGTTTAAACAGGAAGATCAAAAGTCTAAGGCCTGTCTTGGCGACATAGCCACTGGCCTGGGCAACTGAGTGAGACTCTGTTTTAAATTAAAGTAAAAAGAGGCGTAGGAATGTAGCTCAGGGGTAGAACATGTGCCTAACATGCACGAGGCCCTAGACTTAGTCCCCAATTTCATCATACACACAATTCCTTTTCTGAGTTGGGGAGTCGCTGATATGACAGATGCTGTTAAATCCACCTGTGGACGTTACTTCAGTAAAGTTTTTCTAAATGAAAATATTAAAAAGTGAGACATGTTAAAAGCCCATTAAAGCCAGTTTCTGATGGCATCTTAAGGGGACAGTATGGAACTCTGTGTGTGTGTGTGTGTGTGTGTGTGCTGGGTCTCTGGTGAGGTGAGTTTATAGATTCTCATTATATTTGGCCTTTGCAATGCAGCTTTCTTATTGGTATCTAGTGAAAGTGTGTATAGTATGGAGTAACTGCCCTGAATAATGTATAAGCAACTCTAAGCCTGCTGGTACTTACCTGCTTGATACACATTGCTTTTAGAAGGATAGTAAACAAATTTTATATTGTCTAGAGGGAGAAAGAAAAACTTGCAAACCAAATGTCAATAATGGGTGTTTGTTAGTGGAACCTTCTCTTTGCTCTGGCTTTTATCTTCCAACTCTGTCTTCTGAAATGGACTTCTGAAGCTTAGGTAGTATTAACGCTGATTCAAGTACAGTGCACCATTCCCCCGCTGATTGCTCTTTGCCCACTTTCTGCTTTAGAGATAGTGAACTGTTTCTGGCTGCTTTGACTCTGTTCTTTTGACTACACCCCGGAAACACGGCAGTATGGTTGTTGCTTGCTGCAAAGTCACAGAAGCCTCCAGCAGGGACTCAAGGAAGAGTGTTGTCTTTGTTCTGTGTCCCTGCCATGTGGTAGCCAGAGCTGCGGAGTAAGGCCTTCTTTCTCCATGTTCCATTCCTCTGGAGCACTCTGCTTGGTGGGATTTCTGGCTCCATTAGTACTGTCATCTGGGGAGCTGGGGAATCTTACCATGTTGGCCAGTGACTAGACTATTGTGCAGTGGCTTTCTACAAAGGGCTCACTGTTTTTCTTTGCTTAGCTTACCCCTACTTGTTTGGAGCTACAGTTGTGGGGTGCCTTTGCCAAGGCCATCAGGGGGAAACAGCCTTAGGAGTTCTAAAATGTTTTTCAGTGGTCCTGTATATTTTCTTTTGTCTATCTTCCTCTTGGGGGCAGTGTAGATAATCAAGAGACTCTCTACACTAGCTAACCTAATTGACTAGGTTACCCAATGGATGTGGGAGTGAATGTGTCTCTACATGTGTCTTCTATTTATGCTGAAGGCTGCAAGCCTTGGCTTCCGGGCTGAGAGGAACATTTCTCACACAGGCACCGGAATAGAGGGAAACTGAGTGACCTGGTGGCTGAGCACCTGGACCACCTTCACTATCTCAATGACATCCTGATCATCAACTGTGAGTTCCTCAATGATGTGCTCACAGACCACCTGCTCAACAGGCTCTTCTTGCCACTCTATGTGTACTCACTGGAGAACCCGGAAAAGGTGAGTCTGCACTGCCCACTGCTTCCTGCACGTATCTTCCAAGAGCGATAGTCTCCTGCCTTTGCCTGGAACAGCCTCTTGGGAGTAGGAAAGGGAGTAGCAAAGCTTCACATCCTAGGGAAAGGCCTTTCAAATCCCTTATTGTTGAGAAAGTGACCAAAACATTTATGATACCTGGTATCAGAGGGAAGCAAGAGACCTTAGAACTCAGCCTCTGGGCTCCTGTGTGCCATCCATGAGGTGCTGCTGTCCCTACAGCTTTCTCTGGTGGTCACCAGAGCTAGTTCTCAGAGAATTACAAGCAGCACCAGAACTTTTATGTAAAACTCATAGGAAGTTCTGGAGCATGCTCAGAGAAAGGTCCTCTGATTAGATACAAGTTTTCAGCCTGAGTCCTCCATTGGGGTAGAGGGTGGTAGCTTCCTGGGACACTGTCTCACCTCAGGGGCTCTGATTCAGCAGGCTTGCATTAGACAGGGGATCTGCACTAGTAACCTGTCTCTAAGTGATGCCATGGGTGGCTGGTTCTGGAATCCCCAGGAGAAAAGCTGCTTCAGGGAAAGAGGCTTCAGTCATTCCTTCAGAGTTAAGGTTGGAGGGAGAGAGAGCAAGGGAACACAGATGTATGCAGCCTTATAAAGAACAGAATCCCAGCTGTCTCCATGCAAGGAACCTCATTAGATGTGTCCAAGTATATATTACCTTCTTTTTGGACCTAGAACATGGACTTTCTTCCCACTAATGAGTAGAAACAGCGAAAGGAAGCCACAGCTCATACTGGATAGCAGTACTGAGGCCTGGGATTGGGATCATCTCTGCCTTTTCCTTGGACAAGGCACAAAACTGGAAGCCTAAAGATACCTCCCTCTCAGGACTACCCTGACATGGGCCATCTTGAAGCTGAGGGCACGCAATGAGCTGGATTTATTGTTATGTATTTATTTTGTTTTGGAGGTCAGAGGGTCCCAAGTTGCACCTTGCCTATATTGTGAAGCCCTCTTCTTGAAAATATAGAGAGAGGCTGTCCTCTAGACTCTCCCATGCCCAGCTGGGGAACAAGCATTTCTGTAACTTTGGAAGTAAGCACCTCCATTGGATCAGCTGCCAAGATAGGGCTGTGCAGGATTCTTAGGGGAAAGGCTAGCCTCAGAGTGAGCTTTTTATGGCACAGTGGTGAAGGGGGTACACTTTTTGTTTGAACTGAGGACTTGTGGTCTTCAGTGTTCTGGGTCTGCCTTTTGTGACCTGAGCTACCTCTTTTTCCTCTATCCTTCACTAGGGAGGAGAACGGCCAAAAATCAGCCTGCCAGTGTCCCTCTATCTTCTTTCCCAGGTACGTTTGTTCTGCCTCCATTGTCTCCTACACATATAGGGTCCTGTGGTGTGTCCAAGGTGCCTAGCTAGCTCTTTGGCCTCTCTCTTGAAATAAAGTTTCAACACAAAGAAAGAATGTTATGTTTTCTATACACCACGTAGGGCTTAACTTCATGGACAGTAAAGGGAAATGATGCCTGGAATCCGTGCTGTTGATTTCTAGAGGAGGCTTCCCAAACAACTGGCTCGTGCTCTCCATCCCCTGGAGATGTGGATTTGTGTGGATTTTGTTCATGGTGCTTAGAAATGGGCTCCAAGTGCTGGGCAACTTCCCATTCAGAGCCATGGTCCAGCACATAGCCTTGCCAGGACTGCCAGTAGAGAGGCTGTTATGGTTTGGGTTCTAGGTCACCTTCTAAAGGGATCTCAGAGCAGCCCTAGCCTGGGATTTGAGTCTCAAGCCTGTTTGCCTGCCTCCCTCCTTAAACAACTGTTTCCTCCGTGTTATAATTATGTAATATTTACAAGAAGGGGAAAAACTCCATGGTGACCCAGTTACATAACCTTAGAAATATTTTTATTACTAGCAGTCCAGATTCGTAGGCCACTTCACCCAGCTGTCAAGTAGCCAGATATTTGCTTAGAGCCCTGTTTCCATACTTGCCATGGTACCAGGGTTGATCCCTTTTAGTGGGATTCCTACTACTTGAGGTAGTTTGGGGTGATGCTGGCTTCTGCTGGCCTGCGGAGAGGTTCAGTTACCATATCCCCACAGTGGAGAGGCTAATTGGATCCAGACACAGCCTGACCACTGCTTGCAACCTGGAGCCTTGTTCTGGAGGCTCTATTTGCTGTCTCCGAGACCTGCTTTGACTGAGGCCTCTCTGTACCACCAACCTTAGCACAGGACAGCTTCTCCTGGCAACCCTTTGTGCTGACACACCTGCCAGCATCTCCTGCTGGGGATTCTGGGAGTCTGGCAAGACTCAAAACAGGTCAGTTGCTCAGCTTAGCTATAGGAGTCCAATAAACAAAGTCATTCTCACAACCCCTCAGCTGTTGGAGCATCACAGAGGCAGGCTTTCCTCTGAGGAGCATCACCAACTCCTGCGGCTGCTTCAGCCTCCCTCTGAGAAACACCTCTTACTGTCTTAGTAAAGGACTAGGAGCCCAGGCACTGTTGTTTCTTCCAGTATCTCTCAAATCACATAACTTTAGTTCATTATTCCTTAGATTTCATGGTCCTTAAAAGATCTCTTCTGAATTAAAAAGCTTGGGCTAACAAAATTTCTCAGCAGGTAAAGTTCTTGAGGACGAGTCTGATGAACCAAGTTTGATACCTGGAACCTACAAGGTAGAAGGGAAGAACCTTCTCCCTTTATCTGTTCTCTTATGTTGCAATCTTGCCATGGTATTCACATGCCCCCACCCCCGACACACAAATCAATAAATGTTGAACAAAAATTGAGTTAAAAATCTTGAGCCCTAGCTGGGTGTGGTGGCTCATGCCTTTAATTCCAGTACTCATGTGGCAGAGGCAGGTGGATCTCTGTGAGTTTGAGGCCAACCTGGTCTACAAAGCAAGTCCAGGATAGACAAGGCTACACAGAGAAACCCTGTCTGGAGAGTGCAGGGAAGAGAAAGGAAAGAAAAACCTTAAGCCCTTCCTCCCTTACATGGTCATTTAGCTTAATTATAATGTAGTCTAAATGTGTGAAAACTTGAAATCCAGTTTAAATGCTCTGCCCTTAAAGCATTTACATTTCTGTAAAGTTGACACATGCTCACAAATATCTTCAGCATAGCTACTGTGAAAACTCACATCAGTGGCATCAATTTAGTGTGACAGGTGATGCCATCCCTTAAAATAGCTGTGTCTCTCATCTTTAGAACATGATACAGATGGCTTGGTCTAGCCACACTTCCATATCTCTTCTGTGAGGAAGCCCTCCTACCACACTCCTGCTTCTCCAGGAAAATGGGCATTACATGCAGTTAACTGCAAGGATCTGTTCATCTGCAGGGGTCCATCTATCTGCAGAGATTTGTCCACAGGCGTGGGTCAGTACACAAGCAGAGATCTGTGTACAGGCAAAGGTCTGCCCACGGAGATGCATCCACAGGCAGGGATTCATCCATATGCAGTGACCTGTCCATGGGTAGGGCTCAGTGCATAGGTAGAGATCTGTCCGCTAGGATCTGTACACTTGCCAGGGATCCAGGTATGTCAGGTATGTGGATCACAGTGTGTATATATATATATATATATGGATATACCACATACTATACTGCATCTATTGACATCTTTTGCCTTTAAAATTCATTATTAATGTGTATGTGCATGAAGTAGGGCTTAGCACATATGCCATAGTATGCATATGGAGGTCAGGGAACAACTTTGTGCAGTCAGTTCTCTCCTATTGTGGGTTATGGGTATTGAACTCAGGTTGTCAGGCATGTTGAGCCACCTCACTGACCCATCTTTTCATTTTAAAACAAGGTAGTGCATGTGTTCAGACCAACTTGACAGGTCAGTTTTGATCACCCTGATTCCGTAAGTCGTTCTTCTGAATATTCTGAAGCAGGACAGTGGGTGACAACCCAAGCTTTCTGCTCTACATCCTAGCCTGTCTGGATCTACCTCTGACTCCTGTGGCTTCCACCTGCAACACTGCTGTGACCCCAGCATGCTGAAACCCACAGCAGTGCTTGGGACAATTCCAGTGTTGGAATCTCAGCATCACTGCCCCTTTAACACTCTTTGACTAGTCTTCTTATGATGGTACTTGGCACTTGCATGCCACAGAAAGGAAGGAGTGTGCTGGCCAGGCTGCCCCTGTCCCACAATGCTCCTCTTGAGCAGCAATGGCGTAGATGTACTCCCAAGTAAGAACAGCTAGCCAAATAGGCAACAGGGTGGCAAAGAAGCCCTCAGAGTTGAGGGGCTTCTTTTTCCTTGATGGGACCATCCTCAGCATGGGAATTTTGGATTGGGAAGGAGGAGCCTGGAGGTGTGAGCTCCTCAATGCATATCCCATTTTCCCTTTCTCCAGGTCTTCCTCATTATACATCATGCTCCGCTCGTGAACTCTTTGGCTGAAGTCATTCTGAATGGCGATCTATCTGAGACTTACCCAAAGCCTACTCAGGATGTTCCCAGAAGTTCTGTAAGTTACTCTGGGGCAGTGTCTACACTTCAATAAGAAGCATACTTGTTTTGCTAATTCATATTTTTCTGGAGTTAAAAACATTTTTATTACACATTGGTGAAGATGTGTAAAGTGGTCTGGGATACAGTTATAGATGTGCACTGGGAAAATCTGGAGTCCAACATAAACAGTGGATTTGATCAATCGGGAGTTGCTGGATGGATTGTCTAAGCCTTGTCCTTAGATGTTGTGTATACAAGGCAGTATTTCTGAGAGAGAATGAGAGTTGAGGGAATAACCTCTCTGAGGCACATATGTTCACAGAGGTTAGGTAGTGACCATCTGTGAATGTCGCAGGTCCAGTGTGAGAACAGTGGGATGTTCTAATACAGCAATTTGGATGGCTTTTCCTTGTGCACAGCTGCTGTCCCACCCATCCTGAAGTCATTCTGGGGAGTATGTGTGCCATATTCTCAGATCATCTTATGTTTCCATAGAAGTGGAAGTTCTTGACTTCGAGGTAATTACTAAAAACTATGACTAAGTATGTCTAGCCATATTGGTTTCTACAGAGCTTAGAGTTGCACTTTGCAAACTGGAAAGGGAAACACCTAAGGTAGGTACTGTGACTTCCTGGAGTCTTTCCTACTTGTCCTAGTACTTGGATGTCATCCCTCCTACTCTCCTGCTCAGGTGTCCTGAGCCCCATGCTGCCTGGGTCTCTTTTCCTTGCTCTTTTCCCCCCAACCCACCTATGTCCTTACCACATGCACCGTTGGAGTTGAGTTTCTTGTGGCTGCTATCATGTCTACAATTGCATAGACTGTGACATGAAAGGCATCTGAGAGAAGCGGGAAGCACCTTGTACCAGGACTGTTTCATGAGGTTTAATCTTTATTACTGGTGCTCCAGCAGGAAGCCCACATGAATATGTGGGGCATGGTGGAACCTGTGTTGTTGTACCTGCATGTTTTGTGGGTGCACATGCAGGTGCCTCTGGAGGCCAGAAGAAGGTGTTGGATCCCATAGAGCTGGAGTTACAGGTGGTTATGAGCCACCCACCATAGGTGCTGGGAACTGAACTCTGCTCCTCTGCAAGAGGATCAAGCATTCTTAATAGCTGAGCCATCTCTCTAGACCTCTCTGTGACTTCTTAAGTAGCTTCTGGGGAATGCAAAAGCTGAATGCAATAAAGCAGTACTAACTCAGCACAAGCAGCAGAGCCCCATCACCTATCCAGCCCCTCCTAGCTAGATAACTGTGGACAAGTTGTTTCACCCCACTTAGAAACCAGAAAAAGTAAGCTGGGTTCCAGGGACTGTCAGTAAGGATAAAGAGAAAATAGATCCCAAATGCTAGGCAAATGCCTAGTAGATTGTAGCCTGATCCTCTGGCCTGCTTGGTTTGTTCTTCATAGTGGTCAAAAGAAAGTTTTATGAATTGCCAGCATTGAAATTTAGAGTTTCACTTATGAGTCCAGACTTTTGAAGATTGGTGAGGGGTCAGACAGTCTGGTCCCTGTTACGGACACTTCTGAGGAAGCCTCTCAGAGACTGTCCCCAAGAGACGTGTGTTTGTTGTTTATTTTGCCTTGTCCCCACCTAGCCTTAGCCTGCTGCTCATTGACACTCCGTTTATATTAATAACAGTTTAAAATGTCTTCGGTCCTTTTGAAGTCTTTTGTTTGACACTATTTCCAAGCCCCAGTTTAGTTACCCAGGCTCTTCCCAGAATGTCTTCCCCAGGCAGTGTTGAGGTTAGACATGGGGTTGCAGGATGATCCCAGAGTTCCTTAGGGTACTGTTTGTCACAGGTGGCAAGAACATTTAACATGAGTTTCACCTTTTAAACCTGTGAGTGTGTGATGTGTGAGCACATTCAAATATACATGTCTGTGCACCTTCATGTTGAGGCCAGAGGTTGATGTCATAATGTCTTCCTCAGCTGCTTTCTATTTTCTTGTTTTCTTTGAAACGAGTCTCTCACTCAACTTAGAGTTCACTGATTCAGCTAGATTGGCTGGTTAGTGGGCTCCAAGAAAACGTCTTTCTCTGCCTCCCAGCTCTGTGCCGGTTTGCGATGTGGTGCTGGTCACTCAAAGTTAAGTTCTGGTGTTTGCATGGCAAACGCTTTACTGACCAAGCCATCTCCCAGCCCCTTATCAAGCTTTTAAATGCATAATGCATTATTGTTGCCAACAGTATCTCAGAGATCGCCTGAGCTCATTCATAGAGCAGGCCAGCATGCTCTCCACGTACTCCAGAGCCACCTGCAAAATGAAAATTGTATTCCCCTTGAACCCTTTCCACTTTCCTGATCCTGCACACACTGTCCCACCTTCTGCCACTGAGTCTGATGCTTTTAGATACCTTATGTAAAGAGGTAGAATCATGTATTTCTCTTCTGTTATCGGTTCACTACACGTAGACCGTGTCCTCAGGGTTTGTCCATTTTACTATCCATTGTCAAATTTCTTTAGATTTTAAAGGCTGAATAATCTATTATGTGTATATACCCATCTTCTTTTTATTTGTGTTTCTTATTGGCATATATTGATTATACATAACAGATTTCATTATGACATTTTCACACGTGCATATAAAGTATTTTCTCATATTCAACTCCCATTACACCGTCTTGTCTCCATCTCACTCCTAATGATCTGCTTCCCTTTTCCAACTAGTTCCCCTTCTGCTTTCATTTCCTTTTTTATTTTTCCTAAAGACCAGGGAATTTTAGTAGCTCTCCATAAAGGAGCATGGGTACATTACCAGTGGCTACACCACTGAAGAAAATGTTTCTTTCTTTCTCAGAAACTACTACTGTCAATACAGCCTCACAGAGGACTGGGGTCTTTGGAGACTGAGCCTCTTGTTCCAGCTACCATTAACTGCCTGTAGGTCATTGAGGAGGGGTGGGGCCTTGTAAGTCCCCTGACTCCATGATAGAATGTTGGTGAGTCAGGTCTCATGCAGGTTATCACAGCAATTTTTGAGTTCATGAGTGCAGTGGCCATGTCATGATTGGGACACAGTTATCCATGGCATACTACTCCATCCTGTAACTCTTGCATTTTTTCCGCCTTCTCCATGATGTTCCTTGAATGTTGAAGGGGATGATGTAAATGTCCCACTGTGACTAAGCATTCAGTAATCACTTTTTTATGCCCATTTTCTTCATTAATTCCTCTGCTAGTGTGTAGACTTTTTTTTTTTAATGGTGTAATTGTAGATTTGCATGCAGCTGTAAGAAATAATACGAAGAGATTGTCCTGGTTTTATTCCATGGTGATGTCTACAGAACTGCAGTACATGACCACAAGTAGGACACAAGAGGCAGGCTCTGGTTTGCAGCTTAAACAAAAGCACAGAGCGGATGGTTACTGGCCATCCATCACTTAGATGGATTTCAGGGGGTCTGTCCTTTATCCCCATGGTCTCCTCTTAGGGCAGAGGTCCAGCCTCCACTGTGGGAGACATATCCACTGCTTGTGTGAGTGGCTGAACTGGAGTTGCTGGCACAGGAGAAGATGGTTTCTCTGAGTGTGAGATCAAAGCCCCACCTTCTGATGCCTATTGTTGGAAAAACTAGAATGGCTGACAAGATGACTACCATTTGTGACTTGTTTAACAATAGTCCTGTGCAAGTTGCCTTCCTTCCCTGTAAGTGAGAACAGTCTCCTATTGTTTCCTGCTTGGCTCGGATGTGGTTGCTCAAACTTGTTTTAAGTTTCTTGGTCTTTTTTACCCTACTTTCTCCTTCCTGTAATTTGTAGATAAGTTACTGGTATTGCTTCATTTTTACCAGCAGACTTCTCACAAACCCAAACCAAAATTGGAGAGAAGCAGAGGGGAGACAGAATTACTCTGAAGGGCTATAATTTAGGGTTAAATTTAACACACATCAGCATAGGCAGATAAACGTCTAATTGAAATTCCCATGTGCATTACCATCATATGGCTCCTGCTGAGGACCAGCTTTCTCTAGGATGCTGGTGCAGAGCAAATAGTTCCTCTCAGAGCATAGTGCTGTCTTAGTTACTTTTGTATTACTGTGAAAAGACAGCGTGATCAAAGCAACTTAAAAAAGAAAGCATTTAATTGGAGGCTTGCTTATAGTTTCAGAGGGTTGGTCCATGAACATCTTGATAGGAAGCAAGGCAGCAGTCAGGCAAGCAGGCGTGGAGCTGGAGCAGGACCTGAGAGCTTACATCTTATCTGGAAGTTGGAGGTAGAGAGAGTGAGATGGCCTGATGTGTGGGCTCTGAAACCCAAAGCCCACCCCTAGTGGCACACCTTCTCCAATAAGACTACACCTCTTTAATCCTTCCTAACTCACCAACTGGGAACTAAACATTCAGATATATGAGGGAGCCATTCTCATTCAAAACATCACCAAGAATAGTAACTCAGAAGCTAGCCTCTTCCAATGTTTGCAAAGTGAATATGGGTTGAAATTGGGAGTGTTCATTATCTGTAGGTACTCCCTGCCACCAAAGACAAGAGTGTTACTATACAGTCCAGGTTGGCCTTTAATTTACTGCATCACATGGGCTGGTTGGTCTTGGGTTCATCATCTTTCTGCTTTAACCTCATGAGTACTGGGATTAGATTGTGTGCCCTACAGAGTACTTTTAAGACAGAGATCTTTCCCCATCTTTTTCAAAGGTACAACATCCTTAGTCTTTGCATCCCTTCTAAATGCACCCCATGGCCTCACTCACTGGCTTCCTACCCTTGAGAGCAGAGAAGCCTGTGCTGTCATAGGGCTTGCTAGATAGGTTCAAGGGAACTCAGTACAGGAAAAAAAATGAGGCAGTGAGGGCAGAGGTGGCAGTCACAGGGCTCTTCTGACTTCATTGTGAAGACTCTCAAAGCATGAGTCGCTTTTGAGCCCAACCTGTGAGGTTTGGAAGAGCCTCAGAATGAGCTGTGTTTTTTGAGCTATTCACATGCTTTATTCAGAGGCGGCTGACCTGCTGCAGTGCCTCAAGTCCTAGGTCTGTGTCTCCAGTCTTG